CTGTCTTTCTCTCTCTAAGACTAATGGCTTCTCACAAACCGCCATTAGAAACAAACAAGTAAATCAAAACTCATTCCTTCAATTCAATTCGTTTGGCAAAAAAAACCATTTCAAATGGTAACGTTAGAGAGTTATAAGGCAAATGCTCTTTTTTTTCTCATTTCTGCTTTACTTCTGTTATTGCTGAGTCACCGAGTTGATTCTGAGCCAACTCGGGACAAGCAAGCACTCCTTGCTTTTCTTTCCCAAACCCCACACGAGAATCGCCTCCAATGGAACGCTTCAGACTCAGCCTGCAACTGGGTCGGCGTAGAATGCGATGCCAGTCAATCATTTGTCTTCTCTCTCCGGCTACCCGCCGCCGGCCTTGTGGGTCAGATTCCGGCGAACACGCTCGGCCAATTGAGTCAGCTCCGAATCCTCAGTCTCCGCTCCAACCGACTCACCGGTGCTGTTCCCTCTGATTTCTCCAACCTAACGCTCCTCCGAAGCCTCTACCTCCAGAACAACCAGTTCTCCGGCAAGTTCCCGCCGAGTCTCACCGAGTTAACTCGGTTAACCCGTCTAGATTTGTCCACCAACAACCTCACTGGTCCAATCCCAGTTTCTATCAACAATCTCATCCATTTAACCGGACTTTTCCTGGAAAATAATGGGTTTTCCGGCAATCTTCCGAGCTTAAACTCGGACGAACTAGTCAATTTCAATGTTTCAAACAATCATCTCAATGGGTCAATCCCAACAACGCTATCGAAATTCGCACCTTCATCATTCACCGGGAACGTTGATCTCTGTGACGAACCATTGCTCCCATGTAACCCATCTCACCCTTCACTTTCTCCATCACCATCAGCTCCAAACCCATTTCATAATAAATCCAAAAAACTCTCGACATTAGCTATAATCGCTATATCTATCGGTTCCGCATTGTTTCTACTTCTTCTTTTGATCATTCTAATCCATTGTATTAAGAGAATTCAAAGGACAAAATCTCCGAAACCTGCGACTGCGAGGCCGTATTCGACGGCGAGGGCGGTGGTGGAGACAGGGAATTCTTCATCAAAAGAGGATGTTACAGGTGGGTCTGCCGAGGTAGAAAGGAATAAGTTGGTGTGCTTTAATGGTGGGTTATATAGTTTTGATTTAGAGGATCTGTTGAGGGCATCGGCGGAGGTGTTGGGGAAAGGGAGTCTTGGGACGACGTACAAGGCGGTATTGGAGGAGGGCACGGCGGTGGTGGTGAAGAGGTTGAAAGATGTGGTGGCGACTAAGAGAGAGTTTGAGCAGCAAATGGAGGTTCTGGGGAAGATTAAGCATGAGAATGTGGTGCCTCTCAGAGCTTTTTACTATTCTAATGATGAGAAATTGTTAGTTTATGATTATATGCCTGCTGGTAGCTTATCTGCTCTTCTTCATGGTACTCTCTCTCTCTCTCCTGTCTCTGTGTGTGTTTAACCATAATTTTTGCTACATTTGTGGGAATCTTTGAAATTTTTGCTGATATTGACTGCATGGTTTTCTCTGTCCATATGTAAACATTTGAGTTTGTTTCTGAATTTTTGCCAGTGATGAAGCTCTAGTTCTAAACAGTGATGGAAAATACTGATTTTTAGTTTTCTCTTCTTTTTTTTTTGGGTATTTTTAAATAATCTCTATTTTTATTTCCTGGGTGTTGCTGAATTGGATCATTCATGTTTTCAAATTTATTTTGTTTAATACTGAAAATCAAGCTGTGGCAATTTTAGAGTATGATTTTTCGGAATTTGTTGTATATATAGATTGTTCTTTGAACAATCTATATAATCAAATACATAATCTTGCTTACATAAAACACAACAATAGTCCAACACATAATCATGCTTGCATAAACCATAATAACGGAGCAGATTGTTTATATCCAATGAATTATACAATGATTTAAATTTTAATTTGTTAATTATAATAACTCAGTCTATTTATAGTTAACCGCGATAAAAAAAAATGTGTTTTACACATAGATGCTCTAGTTATAAATATATTCCTATAATATTTTCTTGTTCTTAATATTTACTATTCCTTTGATTTATTTTGACATAAAAGAGGATATTTTGGAATTTTGTCAACTACTAGTAGCTGTCTGGATTCTTTTTTATGACGAGTAATTACTATATGTCACATTGGATCCCTCTTATAGAGTAAAATCTTAGATACATGTAATTACGATATGTCACATTGGATCCATCTTGGGGTCGGGCCAAATTCCTCATAGCATATTCTACTCTCAACGTAGATGATTTGATTTTGATTTGATCGAAAAAGAGATTAATCGAAATATGCGTAATGTTTTATACGTGAATTATTTGAAGTTATAATTAAGTTGCCATTATTTGATCAATTATTAGGTTTGAAATATGATAACTTAGCTGAACTTTTTTCCTTGTCATGTCTAAATCAAATAAGATAGGCTTCAGGTAGATTAATTACTTGAATAGAAACATAGTTCTTTTACGCTCTTTACAAACTGTACTTAATATATTTCATGATATGATGAGAAAGTCTCCCCATGTTAGTTTTCAAACACACCCCATGTTAGTTTTGAGCTTTTGTGTTGTTCTTTGTTTTTACTTTTAGAACGGTGAGAATTCAATTCTTCACATAATATTTTCTATTTTTTATTTTTGTCTATAACAGCTTTGCTATGCTATTTTACCATTTTAAAAAAAATTAATTCTGATTACCTGGATGAAAAATTTCATTGGTCGATCATGTGATCATCCCTACTCAACTTGTAGTTCATTAAATCTATATTTCAGAATATATATACGAAACACCCTTGATCGAACAAAATATTGATTCCAATGGTCACTGGCAATGCGTCTAATGTGGTTGGTTGCAGGGAGCAGAGGATCAGGCCGAACACCATTAGAGTGGGACACTCGGATGAGAATTGCATTAACCACTGCAACAGGCCTTACACACCTCCATGTCTCCGGCAAAGTGGTCCATGGCAACATCAAGTCCTCCAACATCCTCCTTCGACAGCGACAAGGCATTCACGACGCGTGCATGTCTGATTTTGGGTTAAACTTACTCTCTAACGCTTCTACAATGCCCAACCACCGTGTCATGGGCTACTATGCTCCAGAGGTGGTGGAAACGCGGAAGGCCACGTTCAAGTCAGATGTTTACAGCTTTGGGGTGTTACTATTGGAACTATTGACAGGAAAGGCACCAAACCAGGCTTCATTGGGGGACGACGAAGGCGTTGATTTGCCAAGGTGGGTTCGGTCAGTGGTCCGGGAGGAATGGACTGCAGAGGTGTTCGATGTGGAGCTTATGAGGTACGATAATAATGAGGAAGAGATGGTTCAGTTGTTGCAAATTGCCATGGGGTGTGTAGCCACTGTGCCTGATCAAAGGCCAGAAATGCGAGAGGTGTTAAGGATGATTGAAGAGATGAATAGAGTGGAGACTGATGATGGGTTCCGGCAATCGTCCGATGTTCCGTCGAACTGATCGGAATTCACCATTCCAAGGATTTATTTGATTTTTTTTTTTTTATGATTTTTTGTCAAATTCTTTAGAATATTTTATTTGCCAGAATATAATATTAAATTGCTGCCTCTAGCAGTTGGATTTTCTTGGTTTTATTCTGTTATTTATTGTTATTCTGACTTTTTTCACGAGTGTTATTATGATAAGGAGATGCCAACTGAGTTGCCAATTTACATCTTATATATATATATATATTTTTGTTCAAATATCAGGGATGTTTTACATGTATTTTGATTGATTTTTTCTCCGATTTAATCAAAAAATAAATCATTCAAATTAAGACTAAGATATTCATAAGAAATAAATCTTTTATAATTTGATTCTAAAAAATTGTCAAGGTTCAAATTTAGAATATTTAAATTTACAATAAATTTCATTTATTATTTGAGTTACTCCAGGGGTTGTCTTTATATTCCGAACTCCGAAGGATTGTTTTGTTGTTCTAGTCTTAAAGTGTCCATGAGTGTGTTCGGATGGCAACAATGTGAATACTTTGTAAGTAAGTGTGTTTTGATCGCGACAATGTGAGTAGTTTGTAAGTATGTGCAGGTCCTGACAATGTGAGTAGTTTGTAAGTAAGTGATTTTTTTGTTTTTTCTCCCCTAAGTTTTAGCGAATAGGCTGGCCTTCTTTTCTCTTGCCTTTCTTTTTCTTCTCCTCGGGCATATAGAAGACAGTCTTTGACGTATGGCCTGGCTAGGTAATCTGTTGATCCATTCAAATGGAATGAGAGAGAGAGAGACAGAGATTGGTCCTTTAATGGCGGGTGTTGGGAAACAGGCTGGCCTGCTTTACTCTTGCCTTTCTTATCTTTTCCTCGGGCATACAGAAGACAGGCTTTGACGTATGGCCTGCCTAGGTAAGCTGTTGATCCATGCAAGGGTTGACCCCAATCCCTCCCAAAAAAATAAAAAAAATGTTATACAAGTCAAAAGAAACTTAAAAAATATAATTTAAATGCATATCATTCTTTAAATGAGTGAATTTTATTGAAAAAATTAATGAAATTCATTCATCCAAAATATAATATACATTTGAGTTTTACTTGAGTTGCGTAGTTTTTACTTAAAAAAAAAATAACAAAATGAAAAAAAAATTGGGACACAACAAAATTAAAAATTGACATTAAATCAAAGATGTCCGTCCCCTTACAATTTACAATCTTTACTAAATCAATTCTGTTTAGAAAACGTAGTTACATTTTTTGCATAAAAAATAAACCAGATTAACGAATGGGTTAAATTAACCCCTTATTGCTATGAACATGGCCTTGCACATTGACACTCCCAGTTGATTCTTATTTGGATAAATTACAATTTAGACCGTTAAAGTATGTACCTAATTTTCATTTGGTCGTTGAGATTTCAATTATAAAAATCAAGTCCTTATAGTTTTATTTGAGTTTCAGTATAGTCATTATATCAAAATTCAATAATTTATTATAATAGAATGATATTCCATGCCTAACACATATGAGTAGGGTAAAAGAGTATACTAGTTTGATGAAAAATTTGTTACGTGTAGGCTAGAAGATTGTACTTTATTTCATCTGATTTTTGTGGGAAAAAAAAAAAGAAAACAAATCAAAAAAATAAATAAATAAAAAACGATACATCTTTCGGTCTTGAATACTTCCCAAAATTATGACCAAACAATAGTTCTTTTATCGTTATATCTTTCTGTCCTAAGGAGCAATTAGGAATTGGATCTAATGAGAAATTTAATTTAATACAATTATTAAATTCATTTTCAATCTAGTAGTATAATTAATTAGGTTCTCAAATTAAGTCAAAATAATATTTTTTAATGCCGAAACCACCCCTCTTAAATAAAACAAATTCCAATCTTCCTTGGGAGCCTATCGAGGGCATTTGCGTATGAGGGCATAGCTATACATATATATTTTGTTTGAGTAATACTAGAAAGATATAAAAACTAAATTTGATAATCTCAATCATTAAATAGGTAATGAATTTCAATAAATATTGAGACCTATAATGAAATTAATTGTTATAATTATCAAGTCTGATTTTTAATTTTATTTTTTAAGTTCACGTAGCTTTGTTGTTTGTGTTTTTTGTGCACCGAAAGTGTAAGCCAAGAGCACTTTTGAATCCAAATTCCGTGTTCTTCGTTCCGGTGTCGGAGACTTTTTGCTTCTAAAGAAAAACGGCCATCTTTTCTGTACCCTCGCAACTGTTGTCCTAAGCTTGTAGTTATTCAAATCCTTGATGTAATTTAGATGATAAAATTTTAAAATGATTAATATATTAATATCCCAAATTTTTTTATATTTTTTTAAATTCATCCTAACTAGAAATAAATAATTTATGAATGATTGCATGTATTCCGAATTCAAAATAACTGTGCGGTAAGAATAATTCTCACTTAAAAACAAAATTTAGAACCCCTCTAACATTTTTTTTTAATTTTTTTCTTGATGAATCATTCATTATTAATGAGTAAGGAACCCACTTGCACACAATGTGTCTTGCTTGAATACCTTTTATGCGATATGTCAAAAAGAGAATCAAAAATAAAATATATTAGAGAGAATCTCACTCCAAGCGAAAAAAAGGGAGGGAGGGAATTTGGGTGGCCGGTAAAATGTAGGTAATTATTGGGTTAATATGTATAAATAATGACTTGAGTGTAAACGGACAACATCAATACAAAAGATAACTTTGTCAATCTATTAATACATAAATAATGTCCCAACAAGGCCTCATATATTAAATATCCTCTCATGCAGATCTCTCTGTGATGTAAATTTCTATCTCAAAATCTTTTTCATTTTTAGATGTTAAAAATTTGGACTCTCTTCTCTCACAAAGACATATATATGTACCACATTTATGTCAATTACACATATATAGACACAATTAGACAAAGACGACGAATTGGTGATATACTTTTGCGATTCTAACAACAACAGTAAAAAATGTGGTTGTATCATTGTAGTTGGGACGAAAATGAAAAGAAAATAGAGAAATTTAAGAAAGAGAGAGGAGATAGAGATTATGAACCAAGAGAAAAAGAGGGGGATAAAAGAGAAAGGAGATATGAGATAGGGGAGAGAGAAAGGGGGACGGAAAAAAAAATAGGGAAGAGAGAAAAAAGAGATATGGCAATTGAGAGACTAGATATACTAAAACGACTCATACATATGCTAATTAAGATAAGATGTATTCTTATCATTAAAAATTTTACAAGTCACAATTTGGAACCACACACCTTCTAAATTGTACATATATAGCCTTAAAATCTTAAAAAATACATGTTTGCACTTATTACAAAAATAATTATTAGACTATGCTTGTTTTTAGTTTTCACAAAAAAATTACTTTGGGGCCCACGCAAGTTGATAACCATCAATTAGCGTGATTATGTTGAACTAGTATTTGTCCTTAATGAACATTTGATTATTGTTAAAGCAATTTGCAGTACAATTAGTTTAAGTGTCACATGATGTAGGGAGGGAGGGGGTGTGAGGACTTTAGAGCTCATGACTAGAAAAAAGAAATAAAAAATCCAACTTTGATTATGAAACTCGACTCTGGCTCATTTTGGCTAATCCAAGACATTTGCATCACGATTATATCAATAATGTTATATTCATTAAAATTTTTATTAAAATTTGAATCGTGAACCGTATGATCAATAGATCTCAAAAATTTTCATTAATTATTCAATAATTAATAATGTGTCATATCATTTGGTACGATTGTTCACTCAAGCTAATGGATAGGAATTTTTGGTTTCTATATTCCAAGTCTATGAATTGCAGAAGTCAATTTTTTTGGTTAACCCTACTCAATTTTTTTTTTTTAGGGGAGAGTGACCCTATCCGATTGAGGGAAATGTTTCGAACTGAGTTTTGTCCAAAAAATTGGGTCGGTAGGTTAGGTAGGAATGCAAAATATCTCACAAATTTTTAAACTTTAAGCCTTTAATTTTTGGATTATTTTAACAACTCAATTACTAAAATTTTTGGGTACTTTTACAACTAGATTGTTAAAATATAATATAAAGGTATGTAAACTAACATAATAAACTAATAAAATTAAAGAAAACACAATAAATTTGATTAATATGTTCCCTAGTAGTCTAAAATACCATAAATAAAATATAATTACAAGTCATATGCTTTCAAAATGATGTTATTTTATGATAAACAAAACGACATCATTTTATAACACATATTATTTTTAAAAAATTAAATATAAATGCGGGTTAGGTAAGAATGTAAAATTTTTATGGGTATTTCGCATTACTATCCGATATTTGCGATATACTAAAAAAACTTTTAATTAATCGACTGAAAAAATACCGAAGCCAAATTATTGGATATGATAAGGTTGGAATATTACGAAACGAGGCGGGTGGACGGAATATTGAACGCCCTATCATTTGAGATCTAATATTTAATAAAAAAACATTGTTTCAACTTTATATATTCCCTATAATGGTGGGGCTTTTGATAAAATAAACTTTAGATATGCGTTGTCTTTCAAAAGAAATTGACTCATCCAGATGGACCATTATGAGATAAATCATCCACTATTGATGTTGCCCTTCAATTGGATCAAATCATACATGTGGGCCACTGTATCAGTGAATTTCTAAGTTGCCTATTGACGTTAGAGAAAAGATATATGGGAACCACATTGCTATAATAATGTCTGCAGCATCAACACTATAGATGAGTTGAATAAGAAGATGCTTTAACAAAGGGTAAAGGACTCGTATATCCAAAAAACTAATTGAAGGACCGACTCCCATTATTACACGTGTTATGATATTAAATGAGCCCACGTGAAAATGACAAGACAAAGCATGTGATGAGGACATCAACTACTCCGTCAAATATACCTAGCCAAATTGATCAAAGTGTTCGGCAAAGCGATAAAAGAGCTCGGCTCTTACCCAACCGTGTTGATCAATTTGTTCGGCAAACATTGAACGAATTCGGTTCTTATTATGATCGAGCTGTTTGCAACATTAATCGGAAAGATAAAGATTCGTCTATAACTTAGGCATTCAGATAAGTGAATCAACGAAATTATAGATTTGTCAAGAGGAGTTGTTGGAGAAATATCGGCAACATCCCAAATTGAAGAAAGATGTGCCAC